CGCTCTCTTTTTTCAAAATTTTCTCGCAAGTATTCTTTTTGGAGTTCGCGATCAGACTCAGTGTATCCTTCATACTCCTGCATACCCTCTTGTATGTAACACTGTGCTCTTCTTTCTCTTTCCTCCCGCTGTTCTACACTTAGGGGATCAAGTGGCTCTCTGGGGTCTTCTTCCACGTCACTGAGGTAACTTATATATCCAACGTCATCATCCTCATCATCCTCAGTGGGCTGCTCCTCCAACATATTGTCTTCTGTGAGTAGTTCATCTGCTCTCTCATTGTTTTCAGCCTCATTTAGCTGTTGGAGCTCCCTTAAATCTCTCTCTTCCTCTTCGTCTAGTCTCTGAAGAATGTTCTTTTTGTCTCTACACCATACTTCGATAAAGTTGTGTGTGTAAAGGGACTCATGAAGGGCATTTTGAACATTGTGGAACCATGCTGGAGATGCCTTTGGGTCTCTCCTTTTCGTACGTACCTCATTCCAGGATTTGAGTGACGAATCCTCGTCTAGAGTTTGCTCAGCATAATATATTCCTCTTGCTGCTAATTCCCGCACAGGCTGGTCATCCACAATGCCATGAAGCATGTCTGCTATATTGAGAGCATTTCCAGGGAGCCCAAAATCGTTTGCTAGTTGCAAGTCAAACTTCACTTGTCGATCGGCCATTAGTTTACAGACGCTTGATGCGAAGTTGTGTTTGTATGCTTTTATTTTGTGCGGCTCTGCAGTTGGGAGCTTGCTCGTCCTAAGGCGCTTCTGGAGGGCAATGAGACGTGCTCTACAGATACGTCCCATCAACCCATTGTCATTTAGGCGTAGGAACAGGGTTGATATCTGCTCCTCTGTCTGTGCGTCTTCTAAGTTTTTAATTGCATAGAATCTAGGGTGATGCATTATGCTGTTGGGTGTGGTTGACGGCATACGTGCTTTGCTCTTACATAGCTTCATATACAGTCCTGACAGTCGTTTTTTTTTTTTTTTTTTTTGATAACAAGGACCCACGAGGTCATGTAGGATTTATTTTGATGTTAGCTCTATAAATGGGTTGCCCCATTACTGGGGTCGCAAATAAAGCGGTATCCAATAATCGGCCGAAGCCGCATCGTCATACTGCCACAGTACTACATCCTGTTCATAAACCACGTCAGCATTGAGTAGACTTCCTTGGTCCCAGAGGACCTGTGGCACGGCTCTACTCCCTACTTGGCCTGTTGTGCGCGAAGGTCATCCTTTAGCCGCTGTCCTCAATCATCAAAAATTTACAGCTTTCCAGGCGCTCCATAATCGCCAATTCCACCTGCTGCCGGTAGCTTGCCGCCACTCGCCGGTCTGCCTCAGTCCTGATCGCCTTCACATCTGCTGTTCGTCGTTGTCCCTGGTGAGAGCCAAAGAATTCACCTCTGCTACGTCTGTGCCTCCCAACACAGTTGCGTCCCCTGGCGCGTTTGCTCACAGAGGTGATACCATTTTCTCTTTCCCAGTTGACGGTGACTTTGCAGCGTCTGTTCCAGATTTCAGTCCTGCCGAGTTCCTCGATTGACTTGACAAAGCGGCAAACAATGTACCTTGAGATCGATGCTGTGGTTCTGAAGATCGTCTTCCATTTTTGTATCAGTTCCTTCGGCACCAAACCGTGGTACAAGTCTTGGACAGTCCAGTGGGCATGCTCACCCTCGTTCCTCCGTCCCATTACAGTCCTGACAGTCGTTGGGCCTCGCTATTCTTGTTGACACTCTTTATCCTATCTTTTCCTGATTTTGTATCTATCTATTACCCCTTAAACAAATCTCAGCTATTATTTATAAGCATTTATCACGTGATCGAACTTACAAATTAGATATTAAATTACTCTGATTCTGAGCTAGACATGAAAGGCGGCCGGATGGTTTAGTGGTATAATTCTCGCTTAGGGTGCGAGAGGTCCCGGGTTCAATTCCCGGTTCGGCCCTCTCTTTCCACTTTTTGAAAGATGAATTAGGTGCTCGAGCAACCCTTTTTTTTCTTTTTTGTCAACCTACAATATTGTAATCTATTTGACAGCCTTGCTGCCAAATAATGTTTTGTAAAACCAATTTGAAAAGGTTGACTGGCCACACACTACGCCTTGTTGCACTCACCATGTAATTACAAATATTAGTGTTTGTCAGAAAGAGTAAAACCCATATGAATAAGTTGCGCTTCGATGCCTGTTAGCGGCTTCGGATGGAGCGACGACAGTTGGACTTGAAATGAGTGACTTCGCTTACAGCACCAAGGTATCAACATGTCCATAAAGAAACCGTTATATTTTTTTTTTTTTTTTTTTTTTTTTTAGAGGAGCAGTGTAAGTAAGGCGTGTACGGGACCGTGCAAACACTTTTTTTTATGAGGGTGCTCTTTGGCAGCTGGACTGCCAAAGAGAGTTTTGAAAACTGATCATATTTGGTAATGGGCTGCCAAATAGATTAATCCTTGTATTAAAGAAACTGATTGAAGGATGCAAGGGGCGAGCGATGTAATATATAATCGCCATTGGAAAAGGCGTTTTCTTGAACTTTCGGTAAAGCTTGAAAATGTTGACAATGAAACGTCACAGCTAGATAGAAATCCAGATTGGAAAAATATATTTGCACGGCCCCGTACACACCTTATTTACACTGCTCCGGGGTCTTTTTTTTTATTGTACGGGGTCTTTATTTCAGTCCTAAATACCATAACCAGGAAGCCTTCCACGACACAGGCTTAGATCCAGAGCCGCTACCTAAGCATCAAATACTGAACAGAATATTTATCTTATCAAGGTCGTATGTAGCTCAGAGTAGATGTTGGCATTCTTTATGCGACTCTGGGACTAAATACAGAATTACAAATGATTTATCTATAATTGAAATATACTATGCCACTCTACTTTGCACTTTTGCTGACCGTGTTGTTATAGATTGTGGATGGTTCCCCGATGCTTTCTTTCATTTAGCGCGTGCATACATCTCTGGTATTTCCGTACACTATTAAGAACACAACGATGATCTCAGTTATTAGGAGCCTCTAACGTGTAGTTTGTTTCGGTAGATATACAAACAATCATACTACCATACTCATTGCTATGATGCATAGCGTGCCATGTTACTACTCTCTTTCTTTTCTCTTTCTTATATGTCCTTATCTCTGTCCTTCTTTATTAAGAACTCAAGCGCCCTCGGTACTAAATTTTGTTTATCAAATTCACCAAAATACTATGGGTAAACCTCAGTTTATTTTGTGGAATATATATCCTCTCATCCGTTTGTAACCCGAGAGATTACTTATCTTTTGATAGTTGGTAACAGTTCGCACTCAAAACCGATCGCGCCACAATTACCTTTTTCTCTATATATAAATAGCTAAAATACTTTAATAGCATAACCGTGACATTAATACATCCTTAGTTTTGTCATTAAATTCCAAGTTTAATATCATGCTCAATCAGGGTTGATTTTTCACCAATAAAATAGCCAACTTGCCTTTGGTCGTCTTTAGCACGCAGTGCCGCATACTCAGCAGCACACATGTAGATGCTCACTGCGTCTAGGGACTAGCTTCATATTGTACAATCACCTGAAAGAAAGTTTGTTCAAAAAATAAAATTTTGAAATGGTAATGAAGAAGCACTGTCTGTCTTCAATCTATTTCTTGCCGTTTTCCCTCAGCATGTACTACCCAAAGACTTCAGTGATTATCCACATTGACCTCATTAATAAAAGGGTAAATTTCCATCTTGGTTGGTGAAGTATTTTTGTATGTCACAAATGAGCTGTTTGGCAGCTCCCACGGCGCTGCAACTTTCGACAGTAATAATTCCAGACCCCTTCCTACTCTAGACTCACCTCTGCTTATTTTTTATAAAGCTAGAATCATGTAATATGTAGGATACACGTTGCTGCTTGTACCCCGTGCAAATAAAAAAAAATTTATTTGCACGGGGGAGCAGTGTAAGTAAAGTGTGTACGGGGCAGTGCAAATAACTTCATCCAGCCAGATTTTTACTTCGTTGATTGTTTTATCCATTACAAGTTGAGAAGTGTTAGTGTTACCGAGGTTACAACCCCTGCTCGAAGCTGATAAAAGCTTGTAAGGATATGAATGTATTGTTCCTCATTGAAGAGGTCATGAAGGTTACGATGATAGACTTGAAGATCTGAAGGATTTTTGCTTGGTATTAGACGCGCTCAGCAAGAGCATTTCGGGCTCATTTATTTACTGGTCTCGGGAGGCGGATAAGTAAGGTAAAACAGTGAGGTGTAATAGAATAACAGTGTGCATCAACGCCTGGGAGAAACTATATACAGTCCTAGGCCAAGTTAGCTTCAGAAAAAAATGGATGTTTATTAATATCTGATTCTCTTTTATTTTTTAACATTGAGGCATTACGCATAAAAGTGGTTTGTGAATGAGTTCAATTAATATTGTACAGCACGCTATAGGGGTTGATATGAGGCCCTTTCCACCTTCATATTTATGAAAAGAGTTGCAGAAAGTCTATAAAAAATGATAAGCGTAATACTATTACCGCAAAAGGAATGTGCTTGATATTAGGATATGAGAATAGGGCCATACAGAAGTGTAGCCTTACAAAAACATATCATTTACTAAAACGGCACCACAGAGTGTGGTAACGAGCCTTTTTTGTCTGTAATCACTGCTTATTTAAAGAGCCTCGTAGTTCCTGTACAAAAAAGGTGGTTTTTCTAGCCACAAAGAACTTCTTTGGGTGAGCGAGGCCAGACCGAGTAGAAATAGACAAATCATACCATAGTCCTATAGTTCATAAAACCAAGCATGATAGATTAAAGTCTCTTTATTTAAATGATATGACATAAAATCGATAGTGAAGTGGATCTTGAGATTTTTTTTTCCCTCGGGTATTACAGAAAATAAAACGCGTAACTACCAAAATCCGTAGAAAATGGAGACGTGACTTTGTCATTTTTCCAGTGTTTTTTTACACAAGGTGTGTTTCATGACAAGTTTAGGCATTTGTTTGCATCTTTCTTCCCTCTTGCCCTTCATAACTACACAAAATGATGTTATATGCGTTTTACGCATTACTTTTCACTTCCATCTGTGGCTATGCATTCTTCCACGGTCGATTCTTAAAGACTCCTATTACCAGGACCAGCATTGCACTCGTCATTGCCCATCCTGATGATGAGGTCATGTTCTTTGGCCCTACTTTAGCAGAGTTGACGAGATCCGAACATGGGAACGTGGTTAGAGTACTATGCCTGTCCAGCGGTATGTCCTCATCCCTCGTCATGTAACTATTGTGTTATCAAAAGAAAAAAAGAGAAAAAAATATAGGCCGATCACTGATTTTCATGTCTCACGAAATAGGGAACCATGATAATCTTGGCGAAATCAGAAAGAAGGAACTGGTGGCAAGTTGCAGGGCCTTTGGGATCCGTGAATCTCATGTCACAATTTTGGAGCGCGAGTACGACGGTTGTGTTTAAATTGATCTATAATTCTTTGGATGAAAATCAATTTATTATCCAGATATACAAACAAAAACGATCCAAAAACCTACTGTCCTGCTTGCTCACTTTCCATTATTCAATGTTTTCATATAATTCAGTGATCTAAAGGATGGTCCAAAAGTACTCTGGGATCCATCATTAGTCGGTGATCAGATGAACCTGTTTGCTAAGAAGCATGGGATCGAGACTGTAAGTTAAGATTATTCATTATTAAATGGACTAAAAAAAAAAAAAAAAAAAAGGTTGTCTATTCAGCTCACATCGCGATCGACTTCTTTTTTAAATCTTCTAACTTTGCCTAGATTATAACTTTTGACGAAAAAGGCGTCTCTGGACATAGAAACCATATTGCATGCTATGTTGGATTAACGTAAAGATTTATTTCGCGTTTTTTCCTTTCAATTGTAATGTCAGAAATGAAAATGGTTGTGCTCATATGCTTTATTTTATTTTATTTTTATTGGTTATAATTTAACTGAATAATAATAATAGCTATTTCATCCAAACCTTCAAGGCGCATACTCCTGTGAAGACATGCTATGTTCTCAAATCCATTTCCCTTCTCCGCAAGTACATCTCACTTCTAGATTTGCCCTTCACGATGGTGATGACAGAAGCTCTAATGCCATTGTTTTCTCAGTACCTGGGGCTTGGCGGTGCAGCTCCCTTGGCAGGCGGATCTAATAGCAATAGTAACCCCGGTAGCCTTCGACCTTTGGAGTTGTTGTTTGTCAGCTCACCCAAAGCTATTGCTCAAGCTAAAGGGGCTATGGAGAAGCATGAGTCGCAGATGGTGTGGTTCCGCAAGCTCTACGTTATCTTTTCAAGATACATGTCTGTCAATGAATTAAGGCGAGTTATGTAAAAGAAAGAGAAAATTGTAGTCTGTAGGAACAGTGACGATGAAGATTAAAAACAGTGGAGCACAAACGGTCAATCAACAATATTGAAAATGAGAAAATTGTAACGCTTTTTCTTTTTTCTTTTCTTTTTTTATTTATATTATTTTACTTAATGCATGAGTATGATGTGAGCAGGCGTGGGAAGAGTGATAAGTAAAGAAGTATGAGAAAAAATAGATAGTGATTGTATAAGATGCAAGAGAAAGATCAAGAACTGTAATTTCCTTCTATTCATTAAATATCCATCAACATGTCGTCAGTTGGTTCGGGTAACATTTCTCCACGAGCCACACTGTTCATCAATTCTCTTCTGATTTCGGGTGAGATACCCTCATGGGTCTTAAAACGTAGGAGCTCAACCAGGGCTTGCTTTTGGTCTGGTGTGATGTCGGATTTATAGCGTTGAGCAAAGATCAGGAAAGATTGATGCCAGAGAACAGGCATTATCCGAGGATCCATCTTGAATCTCAAAAAATGATCCACCAATGCATCAATGACCTTGTATGGCAAAGCATACTTCTTATCCAATAATACACGGATAAAGAGGGAGTTGGGCCCTGAGCAGAAAAAGAAAGAAAAAGAAAAAGATTAGATACAAGGAACCTAAAAATAAAATATCAAGGTCTGGTTTCAGAGATGTCTTTCCACAGAAAAGAGACGTCTAAGCATGAAACAATAAAAAAGACACTTACCAGTGTATTCCATATCAGCTAATCGCAGAAGAGCGGCAGCAGAGTGCAGAACAGGTATACTAACTTTGGTGATAACGGATCCAACAATGGCTGCTTCCTTGAGTGTGCAGTTACCGGACTCGCAAAGTGGGAACAAGATACCCTTGAAGAAAGCCTTACTCTTGTACAGCGACTTCTTCAAGGCCATATAAAGATGGTAATTTAACTTCTTGTTTTCTGCAATGTCGTCTCTGATTTTGTCCAATAATACCAAGCTGAAGAACTTGTGTGCTTGCTTCTCCTTCAAGTTGGATGTAAAGATTCTGGTAGCCTGATAAGTGGCATGGACTGTCCAGTTCTCAGGTGCAGTGATGTACAGAATTTCCTCCCAATTCTGAAGTGAAGGAATGATCTTGAAGGCCTTGGGCAGTTTTCCAGATTTGTAACGAGATAATAACAAACCCACTTTAGAGTAGACTTCAATGACTTTAGGACTCAGACCCATAGGCATTGGGCGATCCGCGCTAGTGGTAGCGTCATCATCATCCGCATAGTCCATTGCAGTATCCAAGGGTCCCTTCTTATTTTCTGAACCCAGTACTGTCATATCGCTTGAAGCAGCGGCTGCTGCTGCAGCATTTGCAGCGTTCTGAGCATTAATCTTTTCCATAATCAGATCTGCCAGTGTTTTCTTTTCTTTGGGTGCAGCAGGCATAAACTTGGCGAGTAATTCAGCATCCTGTTGGTCAATTTCGATCTCATCGTATGTACCAAAATCGTCTCCGTCCTCAATGTCCGACTCATCTTCGTCACTGTCGCCAATGGCTGGAATTAGGTTCCTGGTGGGTCCTGATCCCGATTTCTTACCAAATGTGCTTCCCTCCTCCTCGTCAGAGGAAAGGCCTCCTCGCTCCTCTCTTCTGATCTCATCCTGTTGCTCTTGTGCAATAGACAAAATTTTTCTGGACAGTTTTGCATCGACAAAGTTCTATAATGAAGGTAAAAAGAGAAAAGTAATTTAGAGCCAAGTCTCTATGTTGGTTCTCTTATTCAATCTGGAGGTATATAGTATGTCTCAAGCGCTACTCTTCACCTACAGCATCAGGTCTGTTCTTGCGCTCATTTCTGGCGGCCTTTGCTCTGGGTTGCTTGCCCAGGGGGTCATTGTCAGACGGACCCATGAGCTGAACATGAAGGGGATCATGACGAGGTGCTCTTGTACTTGAACGCGAAAATTGTTCCTTCCCCATAATGAGTTTATTTGTATATTTTCAAGGGGAAGTGTTGATAGTAAAGGAGAAGAAAATGGTGGATGTACAGGAGAGGAGTTAATGGTTTCTAGTCAATGGACGTTCCCAGTTAACCTGTAAAAAAAAAAAAATTGTTTACAATCAAATCATCATGTGATTAAAATTAGCAGTCTCCACTTTTCAGATCTCTAGATAGAACGTTGGTTTGTGGCATCAAAGTCATACCATACAAAACGATCATGTAAGCCTCTGATAGGAAGATGCAGATTATCAATCCACACGTAAGCATTACCGGAGCTGGGTCAAAGCTGGACTGTAGTTTCCGGCAACTGGAGGGCTGGAATGCCTGCTGAAGCGCCAGGAGTAAACGTAGAAATATTAAAGGTACTAAAAGTGTTCAAGTAAATGCAGAACAATGACAACAACAGAAAAAAAGGAAGAAGTCGTATAAGTGATCAGCGGCGAGTTGTTTCTCCCCAGGCCAATGCACCTGCTACACATTGTCAGTGCTGGGGGCAATGTACAGTTTGTATATAGTTGTCATTGGGATCTCCACTTTATCATGATCAATAAAGCTAAATTGCAGCGGACAGGTTTCTTAATTCTTTAGATAGCGTCTCTGCTATCACTACCACTCTCGCCCGCTGCCAACTGTATCTTCTTCGAAAGCAGTTGTATTTGCTTTAATGATTCTTTTGTTGAGGCACATTGCACATTTGCGCTGGGTGACTTGTTCTCCTGCACACCTTTGTCACCAATTTCTGACATAATGAGGTTCTTCATTTGCCTTGATACAGGAGACGCCTCTTTTCATGACATCAGGTGCATCCAATGCACATAACAGTAACTAAATCGCCACTGCCTACATTGTGCGTGGACTACTTCACTCGATGAAAAAGAAACCACGTGCTTTCGTGGCTTCCGAAATCGCACTGTCAACAGAGGCCGTAGCGGCAAGATGCGCTTGGGTCACTGTCCAACATGTTTCTCTGACTTGAATAGACGGATTTGTTGTATTGACTGGCTTTGAACTGTCGGATCAGGCTGTAAGCGGCATCTTGTACTGTCCCCTACCCAGTGGATATCGCTAGAGAACCGAAATGAGTGGCGCCTTCGGTTGATGGCGTAGAGTCTGCCTTGAAAAGTTGGGAATGGTGTTGAAACTTGATGATGTGATTGGTCCTGATAGGGCGCAAAACTTCTCTAGAAACCAAATTGGAACGCACAATCACCAGACCGTATTCACGTGGTGCGCCCTGGGCTGTTTATTCATCTGCAGATAGATGAATGCCTTTATTACCAATGCATACATTGGTCCTCATATGATTCTGTTAAATATTTTTCTATTTCTTCTTCCTTTTCCTCAACCATTGTAAATAGTATAAGAGACAGATTGATGTGGTTAAATATAATATATCAGGAAATGGACAAAGCGCCTTTCAATTCTTCTAACTTTGAAACTGGATGCTTTGTAAATGCATGGCAGCTCAAGTGCAACTGTTCACTCGCTCTAAAGAATAGCTATGAAGTTGAAAGGAAACAAGCGCTTATATTTTCATTCAGATGAATATTGAAGCTCCAAGTGTAATTATGGGATATTGTATTGGTCACGTTAACTGACAAGAATATCCCATAATTACAGTAAACATGAAGTTTCTCAAAATTTTATAAATGAATTAAAAAATTACTCGTTAAAGTCAAACTTTTTGTGCCATGAATCTGAATGCAGGATCAGTTCATTCAAAGGCAACAAGCATGAGCGATGACGCAACAGCCACAACTGAGTTTGTTTACGATGCCCTGTTTAGTTTTGACGACTTACCCAATCGCAAACAAAAACAGCAAACTCGGCACACTCAGAAGCCTCAAGAGGATAGGGCTGGATCAGATCAATTGCAATTAGGATGGTACCAAGTAGCCAAGGCACCTGTTCCTTTCAATGAAGATGTATTTTGGAAGGTCTTGGTAAGGCAGATAAGACACTATGCTTGTTCTCCTACCATGCTTTCCTGTATCTAATCTTATATTTGACCTTTCAATGTTTTTTATATATAAAAGGAACGTTGGATCCTCGAGGCACCATCGATCATTCCACCCGTTTTGAAAGTAGAGATTTTGCATGATACTGGGGAAGCAGGCCAAAATGTACATGATTCCACATCACCATTTACTTTAAAACGAGAACAACTGCTACTAGATTCGAAAACCCCATTTAGAGCTATCCAGAGGAAATTATTGCCAAGGCGTTCCAATAAGGATCCTATGATGAAAGAGCAGATTTATTTTGTCCGATCATTATCCATGCCATCCTCTTGTGGGGAGCCTTCAGAGGAAAAAAAGGATTCATCACTATCGAAAAGTGCAAGGAGTTATGCCATTTTTGCACCTGTCACCATCACCACTACATCCTCTTCCTCCTCCTCTTCCTTGTTTAACAATAATAATATTCCACAGGAACAGGATGAAATACAGATCATGAAAGCATCATTGCCTTTCTATTATCCTAAAATTCGTGGGTTCCGATACGGATATATACCTGATCCGGAAGGCGAAGAGAGCGATGACGCTGATGAAGATAGTGATCATAGAGGAGAAGAACAATACGAATATGAAGACCGAGAGGGAGTTGTTGAACCAAACAGCAGCAACACATCCGCCTCGATAAACGAAGCAGCTCCAGCAAACAAGGCTAAGGCATTGTGTAAACGCTTCGGTTGGATCACGCTTGACCTCCTTCTAGCTGGGGATGAAGGTGAGTTTACAGAAAAGATGGTAAGGTTGAGCTTTTTTATTTTTTCTTTATTTTTTCTCTTCCATGGTCTAGTTCTTTCATCTCCATAAAATATACTGATCAAGACCTTCAGCAATATGCATTTAAGGAGCTTTTCAAGAAATTATACAAATGGGGAGTAAATACTACAAAAGGATTTACCAAGAGTCGAATCCAACACGATGTCATGGTTCCCAAGGATCTCTACTTGAAGACATATTCCCGGTTGAAAGGAATGTATGCGCAGAAGTGGATGCAAGCCTGGCCAGAGAAGACCGACCCACGGAAGTTTGTCTTTGAAGATATTGCAATTGCCAGTTGGTTGGTCGCTCTTTGGGAACTGGAGCGCGAAGATGAATGTGAACATAGACATGAACATGCACCACCACAGCCACAACTTCAACAACAGTTTCAAAGGAAACAAACATTTGTAGACCTAGGATGTGGTAATGGGCTGTTAACCCATATTCTAAACGAAGAGGGCCATAAAGGTATAGGAGTTGACATCGTAGCAAGGAAAGTATGGGACAGTTACGGAGTCGGCACTCAACTCGAAGGTAGGCGAAAAAAAAAAAAAAACTGTTTGATATGTCTTTCAATGTGTACGCATAAAAAAAAAGATATTAATCTTGATATATCCATGTTTTCATATCAAAAGCCAGGACTTTGATCCCAAATGAGGTGGAGCTGGAAGATATTGATTGGATCATTGGGAACCATGCCGATGAGCTTGCACCATGGATACCTATTATCGCCATGCGAGCAAAACCGATGGCCAGGTCTGGATTTGCTCGAAGGAAAAAAAAAAAAAAAAACTATTTCGGAGCATTTATACTCGATCGACTCAACTGTATGAACGCTTTTTATAATGGTTATTTATTAACTAGGTTCTTCAATCAATTGTTTAGGTTTGTCGTGATCCCTTGTTGCTTCTTTGACCTCAATGGTAGCCGATATTCGTTCCCGAAAGGTTATCCTGAAGGCAAATACAAGGCTTACCAAAGCTACATCTGTAGCATCATTGAGATTTGTGGCTATGAGCTTCAAACAGAGAGCCTCCGAATACCTAGCACCAAAAACATGGCCCTTGTGGGCATGAGGATGAAGAAGGAGAAGCAAAGTGGTCAAGACCGACATGACAATATAGATGCACAAGGCAGCAGTAACGATGACTGTCGTGCTAAAGTTGATGATCTTGTCCGAAAAAGCGGGTTATTCGTGGCTCGCCTGTCGGATAAAGATAAGCAAGCGCTGCAAAGATCCAAATACACAGCAAAAATGTTAGCTAAGGAAAATGGGTGTCGGAAATCCACTTTTTAGAAAACAATTCCATGCCCAATCCAGAAAACATAAAGTGATAAAATATTTTGTAAAATGAAATTTATGCTCAGTTGTATGGTATATTTTGATATTGATGCAAAGAAAAAGGATGAAGTTAAAGAAAAAAGCAACTTTGCTTCAGAAAGATCAGACGCTATCAAGCATGCCCCCAGCTGTTTCTCTATGCTTCAAGTAATTGATGGAGAACTTGTCACCCTGTGCGGCGGCCAGTGTGAACCAATGTATAGCTGCTGCCACATTTTCAGGGTTGAACTTATCAGGTTCGGAAGAATTAGGTGGCGGCGGCATATTTGACTGCAGATGGTGACGTTGAGACATCATGCCGGTCCCTGTAGCATGACGTCCTGGTTGCACTTCCGGGTATTGATCTATGTTGTGATATCCTTCGGAAAATTCGCTTGGTAGATGCTGCTGATGTTGAGATGGTTGTTGATGTTGGTTTAATGATACTGTAGAGGCATTCAACCCATCTGTCGACCCGCCAGAGCCGATAGATGATCCAGTGAATGATCCTAAACCAGTCATAATCCCTAGTCCACTGAGCACTCCGCTTCCAAAACTGCTACCGCTCCCACTGTTACTGTGTTGATGACGAGACTTGTGCTTAATCGGAATGCTAGCAGTGCTAGACTTGTAGCCAAGAAAAGCGCTTGAGAAAGTGCCTTTAGGCGATGGAGGGAGTGGCGGGGTACTAGTCCTGCCGGGAATAGGGGCTTTACTATACTTGGATGATGTGGCAATAGAAAAGGGGGAGGGGGCTCGACTGTTTTGAGTGATTTGGGGCGAGTAATAACCAACCATAGGAGAGGATGACAAAGGAAGCGTTGGCAGTGACATGTAGAGGATCGCAAGCTCGCGCTGGGCTACCCGATGGGATTCCTTTGCACCTGATGGTTGCGTTTTTTTTTTTTTTTAGAAAGGTTAGTACATGCCATAGTTTGCGCTAGTTAGAGAATGGCCGAACGTTAAGGGAACTGCTTACCAATTGAAAAGAGTCGCACAGCTTCTGCCATCCGCGCACGCTCCTCATCATCGTCGTAAGGGACAAAGTCATTCCCTTCATCCATATTTATTTGTGTGTTCAGATCCCGTCCTGTGATATGGCTGGTGCGTGAGCTCTCCTTCACCTCAACAAATTGGGTTCCTTTCTGAACGATGTATTCAACCACTTCACTCTTCAGACTAGTAATCGCCAATGCCATGTCCCAGAACGCCTTGCCATCATCTCTCAAGTCCAAAATTGAACCAGGAATAAATGTTGCGATAAGTTGCATATCGCGAAGCAAGTTTCGAGGTTGAATAAGCGCACGTGGCCCACGGTGCCGGAACAAGCCCTCAATTTCGTTGATGATAGCATCTGTGCCAGGGGTGAAAGTCCGTGGCGATCCAAGAAGATCCTGTCCTTCATTCCCAACTTTGGATGTTCCGAGTCGAGAAGAAGATGACCGGCTTTCGCGAGCCTGCTGCTGATGATCATTACGATATGGGGACTTCAGGTCTTCTGTCCAAGCACGTTTATCTTCTACACACGAATCAGGATATGAGAGTGACGCGACGATTAACAGTTCCAATGAAAAAAGATGACCCAACTTCTGATAGGGTGACTTTGTTGAGTTGAATTGTTCCATTGTCGAGCTATAGGCATCTCGAAGATCATACGGTGCAATGGTTTGACATGGTATGGTTGTACCAGAGTTTGGAGTATGTGGTTTCTTAGCCTGAACGTTCAAAAGGCTTTTGGCTGGGACTGTGGCCGACCTCTCCAAGGAGGTTATATTCTGACATTGCTTTGCAAATGTATCACCACAAGTGCCCTCTTGTGACGGTGATGACAGTAATGAAGACGATAGTGACAGACGGGGCTGTTGAGGCAAACTAGTACTGTCAAGCATGGAGCTATGAGAAGATGAATCCTGAAGAGATTGCGTAGCCGAAAACGTCGATACAGATGCCGATGATTTCACATTGATATTACGATTCAATGCTTTCAACTGGTTAGCCTCCCACGAGGGGCTTTTCCCCTTTCTGTTATGTGCGCTTTGCCAGCTCGTGCCTGTAGAACCAGCCGGGGGACCCGAATCCATAATACTATTAAGGCTCAATCTGCTTGTACTGCTCTGGGAGCTTGCCAGGTCTATTAAGCTTGCAGTTGTCGACAATGATGTTGGTTTCTGATCTTCATGGAGCTTGGCGCGTACATCCATCTGATTGGAGGGCATAAAATAGTTGTCATGGTTCACATCTATTCTAGAGGAGGCGGTATGATTATCGATATTCTCGTTGCGTACCTCTACGATACCCTTCGTGTCCTTGGTAGTGCGAGATTCCATTTCCTCCAAAAATTCCATAAACCAACGATCAGCCTCCACCTCGCCAAACAAATCTAGCCACTCTGAGAGCACAAAACTGGTCAGCTTGAGCTGAACTCTTCTCAAAAACTCGGGCATGTCCTTCGGTAAATGATTGGTTTGATGTGCAAATGCTGTTGCAGATGTTCCTCCACTAGTTGTTCCAGATGCTTGGGATCCTGATAAAGAAAAAGAGGATGATGCGCCATGCGAAGTGGTTGTGTAAGGTGGATTGTATAAAGCATATGTGGGGCCAGGAGGGGATGCATAGATGGAAGATGGATTGTCATGTAAAAATTCGAGCGTGTCTTGCTGTATCTGATTATTGATATGTAACGCTTGTCGATTTAAAACTCTTGAACGTCCTTGTAGCCTGCTTGTGCCAAGATGATTAGTAGCGCTGGCCGATGTCTGTGGGGATTGTGCGCTGCTGGTACCGCTACTATTATTATTATTCAGAGCATTGCTTAGCGAAGAATTCGAGGTTGAGGCTGCCTGCGACAAAGAGTAGCTTCCAGTTGTGGTTGACACGTGCGATGCAGAATGTCCGCCCTTGAAGGAATTGACCAAAAACTCTGCAACTCCACCGCCGCTGCTAGTCTTTGTGATCGGTGCTGCCTGGTCAGTAGGCGCCATTCCCGCAACGAACTGCCCATTGAACTTTGCAACTTCCTTAACAAAAAAATCACTTCCGCTGCTAGAGAGCAATGGCGACAATACTCCATTCTGAGCTTGAGGGATCCCAGCACCTTGGATCCCAGTTCCACCAAGGCCTATCCCACGAACGATAGACTCGACTTCCATGCAGAACCTGAGAAAGTTATCCTCACCAGGCAAGAAATTGTGGATACCTGAATCAGTCACCCAGCGCTGAACGGCTTCCAATTCACGCGCATCCATCACAAAATCGCTTTGAATATCCATCAGATCATTCGATGACCCAATGGGTCCAGCGTAGTTATTTGTATTCCCGGACCACAACACATTCTGGGATCCAAAGCTGTTAGAGAAAGGTGGTTTTCCCTTCTCCTTCAAGTGACCAAGACTGCTTTCCAAAAAGGATGGAGGGCCAAACGACCTAGAAGTCATGTTATCAATGTACGTACTGAAGCTACTTCTTCTGATTTTGGATGTCCGTAGGATGGACGCATGTTGCCCAGTGTTGGAGCTATACCGTCGTGATGAATTTTCCGCATTTCCCTCCGACTCGCCACCATGCACTCCCTGGACAAGGTGATGGTCACAGCAAGATGCCTTGCATCCAGGATTGGTATATCCATTGTGTCGACCTAATCCTGACCTCGAATCTGTTTCGCTCCAATCCGGAAATGCCCCATTACAGCGCTCTAGCTCTTCGGACGAAAGACCCTTTCTGAGCGCAAGCCTATTTAATCTGCTTAAGGATACGACGACTCCAAGAGACTTTTCAAATGCGCGCGATGTTCTTACACATGTTTGGTAATACATTTTGAGGCGTAACGAGGATAAGTTCTCTCGTTTGCGCTCAATTGCCGCCACAAGCCTATGATGCCATGAATGCGCAAAGTTCTCCCACATAGTTCTACTCCTAGCACGCCCTGCTCGATGCTCTAATCGGTGCTTGATAGGCATGGCTAAGAGATATATGATTTTAGAGCTGTCCAACTGTTGCAAGACGGGTGACGACTCCAAGATCTTTAGCGAGTGATGAAAACCAATAGCAGCTGCATGGTTACCAAAGTGGCGAGCCTGCTCAATACCCCGTGCAAGGAGCGAATGGATGCTTTTATGACTAATATGTGGTGATGGCGATGGCATGGTTCGATCGTGAATACCTTCTAGGTGTTGAAGATCCCAGTAGCACTCATTGTTATCGTATTCACCATCCATTTCTGGGATATCAAATTCTCGGAGAATCTTAAAAATCGATCTAGCAATTGTTTGAACTTCTTCAGGCAAATCCGCCTCGGATTGAACAGCGTGACGGATCCTGGCTTTCCATGCACGATCTGCTGCAGCTCGCTTTGATCTAGCTGATGATCTCTGAGCCTCGGCCCATGCGCTCTGATGACCTCCAGCTGGGTCACTCTGTCCACCAACAGATGTAATTGTCTTGGTACCGGATTCATCAGCGGATGAAAGCATATGACTGCTGTTTACCCGCAAGATCGACATCTCTTTGTCCTCTGCTGTCAGGAACGTCTGTTGTCTCTGAGCCAAAGTGCTATCCTCAGATGACAAAAGAGATTCATTGTCTGATTCGCCAACATCGAGGTCGAGCTCAGTATTGGGCTCAAAACTTCTCAGAGTACCGGCGGAGTCCATAACTTGATCCACTAGCATAGGCTTTGTTACTGTTACAATGCGCGATCCACCGCTAATCATAGAGGTTTCCATGACCATGGCCATGCATGGTGGGGCTAGAGCCAACCCGACTTCGATTGAAGCACTATTGGATTCCGAATCTTTACTTTCTAATGGAGTATTATCCTGTGACTGTGGTTGTGATCGCAACTGGGTCCGCTCAAACTCATCCGGATCTTCCCTTGAATACTTGATGTCTGTGTATTGGACATACGCTAAAGCCCAAGGCTCGCGCAGAGGTGTTAGTCCTGGATTGCTCACTGCCCACGGCACCTCCTTAATAGGCCCAGGCTGAACCCTCTTAAGCTCCGTAATGGCGGTCTTCAAATCAGGCAGCAAACTTTCATCAGTCCAATGCCTAATTATGGGTATCGATTCGGTGGACCGAGGTATTTTAGAAAGTCCACTTTTTGTTGAAGAGTTGCTTACACTTTTTGGGTTTGAGGAGCTAATACATGAGGCTGCTGTAATGCCCGAGGTGTTCGTAACTTCTACTGTCGCAGTTCTGGGAGATACAGCTTGCCCAAGTTTGATTCCTGATAGTGATAAAAATGAAGATCCGCTGAATGTAGTTTCTGCAGGTGCGCTGGGTGTCTTCTCCAGAGGGAGAGAAATGGGTGGCGGAGGCTTCGCTTTAAAAGGTAGTGATGCTGTAGCACTAGCAAAAAATGAAAAACTTGGCGACGCTCTTTTATGAGTCGCACTGGGTGGATGAGAGAGCTTAGATACTGATGACTGTGTAAATGATGCCGTTGCCGTCCCCGTTCCAGTCCCAGACCCTGCTTCTGTTACCGATGTGCTTAGAGCGGACTTCATGGCCGCTGAATAGGTTGGTGGTGTCTCTGATGAGGTTCTTTGACGAGTCAAGACTCCGCTTCTACCATTAAAGCTACTGGACCGGGTCATTAATGTCGCTGTAGATGCAGGCGAAGATGTGGTTGTTCTGAGATACGGGCATACAAAGTAGAGGAGAGTAGTGAAATCTGATGGACAAAGAAGGAGAACAGGCGTTATGGTCGATGATCCCTTGACACCGCTAAATGATGCACGCAGTGAAGATCTAGCTGATACTGGTGGAGGTGTAAGCAGTTCAGAGACCGGATTTAAGGTATATTCTGCATGTTGTTGTCGCTCCTTTGGCTGAGTTGGTGAAGAGAACAATTGAACGAAAGCATCGATTTTCTCGTGTATTCTAGGATCAACAGTCAGCGATCGACTTTCCAGCAGTAGCAGTTATAATAACGATAATAAAGGGGAAACAGAGCAATGAGTAGCCAACTCCCGATAACCAATGGAGATATAAAACGCATCACCACAGAAAAAGCGTTACTTACCTTCCAGGCACAGGGTTCAGGATCCCTGTAACATACCGGTAAAGGCGCTGATGGGTCGTAAATAAAATACGTTGCCGTTGCTTTTCAGATATAAACGTGTCCTGCATCATGCCATACGTCTTGATATTATTCAATTTTTTTTTTTTTTTTTTTTTTTTTTTTTAGAGTTAGTTACTGGCAATAAAAGTATACGAACCAAAAAGAAAAGGAGACTTCAAGAGTAGACTGTAGTTTAATGTTAAAATGCGATTTACCTCAGGATAAGCGATGCACTTATTCATGAACCGGTAAAAAAAAAACTTGACAATGATAATTAGAGAGGCATAGGCCTTGATCTGATGATCAATTGCTTCAAAGATCCGCCTGGAAAGATCCATCAGATATGGTGGACTAAATTCCTTAAGCATGTCAAGAATTTGGAGACATGATTCCTTATAAAACTCCTCTACAGTAGCTTGACGTGCCGTCATTTCTGGGATATGGATCCGTGGATCGGTCGATATAGGTAAGGTGGTCAATTCCTCAGGTTCTATAGATCCTTGATGATGGGAATGATGGACATGAATTGGTGTACTTTCGATAGCCGCTGTCTTTATAACAGGAACACTGGCCATTCTACCCAAGGGTTGCTGATGATGGGCAAGTGGCAGGACGTTTGCACTGAGCTCTTCGTCTGAGAAGCCTGCCAAATCCAGGTCACCCCTACGAATGATGTCTAAAAGTGTTTTCTCGAACTTGGCTTTGACACGAGAACCCTGTTGCCATTCTGATTGAGCTACATATCGTTCCAGAATCTCCGTCATCAGGCGCTCGCCCTTTTTCTCTGAAAGAAGCGCAACAAAAATGCTCGTCAATGCCTCTGTCCGTAAGATGTGCTCACGCTCAAACGAGGATGGGCCGAACAGATTAGTAAGAATGATATGCACAATGTCTTGGTTATTAACAAAGTTTTGCATGGTGCCCTGATGCGATTGATGGCGCTGAGTAGCGATAGTTGAGCTATTAGTGGGTATTTGATGTGAGCTGTGGCCACTAGATCCTGATTGAATGCTATACCCTCGATCCCGGCTTCCCCGCAATGGCGATGACATTGATAAAGGAGGTCGTTCTGGTAAAAGAAGAGAATCCAACTCCTGTGACTGTAGATTGCGGAATGCAGTGGCGAGTATAGAATGATTAGTTCTGAGGCGGTGTAAAAATGCCAAAACAGCAGTAGAGGAAGACGGACTTATCATATCCAGAAAGCTGGGTCGAGGCTGAGGATGAGCCAATGCATGATGCAGGATACGCTCTGTCTCATCATGAGTGTGATTAAACGTCGATATGAATTCGTTTCGTCGATCAGGCCTCTGTCTGTTCTTGAACGCATCATGTGCATGGTCATATGCAAGATCAAGTCCGCGCGAGATTCTGGCAGAAAGCATCAAACCCATCAGATGCGCATGAAGTTGAAGCGATTGACGGAAATCCTTTTGCTTCGAGGTCTTGTCGAGAAAGAAGATCTGGCGTAGATCCCACAAGGATGGGTTTTCAGGAAAAAGATAGTCTCCAAAGTATAGTGATGGCTGAGGTTGTGAAATATCAGAAAACAAGGCCCTCCCTGATCCAGCTGAAGGAGGTCTCTGTTCATTACTGTTTTCGGTACCTCGGTGGGCCAATGGCGGGGTAGTTCTTATGTCGGAAAAGCTAGGTAGTTTTCTGCCCTGCTCATCCTCATTAGTATGATTATTTGACTGTAGACTTTTTGAAACATTGGCTCCGTCAATGGAGATCGGAGTAGATATTGTATTGGTTATTCCTACTTTTCGTTTGGGTGAGGATGAAGATACAAGAGAGGAGGTTGAAATTGAAGTGGCAGACGAGAGCGAGGAAGATGAGAATGAGAACGGCTGTGTCTCGTATGATGATTCTTTAGCTAGTTCTGATCGGGGTAACGTTGTTGAATCTTCTGAGGAACTTTGTGTCAACAGACTGGAATCGTGGTTGCTGGTTTGATTTTCAAATGTGGAAGATGGCCTTACAGAGTGCATGTTACTACCACTATTGCTGATAATACCAACAGAGGCGGAACTGGAGAGCCTGGTATCCCGTGTTGTTGTTGTTTTCAATGTCTGAATAAGTTTATGGGCGAGAAGGGAAATGGTGTAATTTGTTTGGAAGAAAGGGGGCAAAGCGGTTGATCTGCAGTAGCTTGATTTGATGCGAAACTTCTACAGCAAAAGAGTGGTGGAATTTTACGCGGGTTCAACAACATACGAATATAGAGTTGTCAGTCAAGGTGTAACATGGAAAAAGAATAACAACATCATGGTAGAAAGAGACGGCAAAGTTCTCCATATCCATTCATATCCATGTGGTCGGATAGACCACGATAGGAGAATGATTTAGGCGGATACTACAGAAAGAATCACCAGCTGATGACCCCGATCCAAATAATAAAAAAAAGGCACTACTCGAAAGTACTAATGACCATTCCTATCCACGCTTTTCCTTTTTGTGACGGATCAATCCTTTTGTTTCGCAGTAATGATTAGCTGAACTTTCATTTGATAAGAAGCCAGGAGAGAGAAAATAAACTGTAAAGACAACCAGTTTGGATATCTGGATGAAGTCTCTCCGATTAAGAATTTTTTTTTTTTTTTGACAAGCACATATTTTGCGTCTTCAATTCAAAAGAAAACTGACAAACAGAAAGAAGGAATCAAAATATAATGGACTGAAGAAAGGGAGAGAGAGAAGAGGTCATGCTGACCAATATTTATCCACCCTTTACACATTTACGCTCTATAGTTGTCGTATTGTTATTAGTGATGATCCCACTTGCTATCGTAGTTGTTGTCGCATAATGCTGAGAGAAAGATAGGTCGGTAGATCAAGAAACTCATTTATCTACCCTGCTCTTGGTCTGTTCGATCATTTCTGCTTTCCTCCGTGTATCTTCTCATAAACAGCATCACGGGAGTCGGAGCAATTGTGAGCCAAAGGATCGTCTCGCGTATCCTCCATTGTCAATCCATCCCGTTATTGCTTCCAACACTTGCGAATGCTATAATGGAGGGGCTTTTTTTTTTTTTTTTTTTTTTTTTTTTTATCTCGGTTCCCACAAGAAGCACAGCATCTAGACTTGATAGCTACCTGTTTGCTGTGCTTTCATCACTTCATCGCCTTTTCTCATACCCTCAGGGAAACAACGCACAAGAACAGAAAAAACCCCAACTAACAGTAAGAGATCGCATGGCTTCCAACTTCTCTATATTTCTGAACTCTGCAATTGAGGAACACAGATATGGTAAAGAGACGAACTGGTGCTTTTTGTGTATCATTTTAAGAAAAGGGAGAGAAAGAAGAAGAAGGTTGTCCGTCACCTGGAGATGTAAAAGTCATGGGACTTATTAAACACATTTACACACCTTTTTCTAAAAAAGAAATGCGCAAATGGAATGAATGCTAGATGGAATTGGCAAATGAATTCTTGTTGAAAGGAGAGGGAGCGGAAATACAATGGAAAAAGGAAAAGAGTAATAAAGTAAGAGTATTATTATATTTAATGTTAAAAGCTGTCGTGTGCATGTGCGCATGCTTTCCTTTTCATGGTGATAAATTTGTCGTACACAGTAACCCCTCTTTCTGTGGGTTTATTGTTTTTGTTCCTGACTACTTTCAACTCCTGAAAGCATAAAGGTAGGTGTCATCAACCACGATTTCTTTCCGGAGGTCTCGGGTATCTTTCTTTCTCTCCTTTCCCTCTTTAATTTTATTTGTGATGCAACCCTTCAGGGTTCAGTGGTGATCTATCTGTTGATGGCTATGTCGTAAACAGAGGTAATAGATGAACAGTTCGTTCAGCGTGCTTAAAAATTAGCCGGGTAATCAGAAGGACCTCGAGACTGTCCTGTGGTAATGGAGGAAGTCGCTGCGGTTGTGGGTGCTGGAGTACATCTGCATTTCTTACAAGCAGTATATAATAACATTGCTCCAGTAGTAAACCTATGTCCTTAGAGTAGATCAATGGAAAGAGCACAACGGCCTGATTGATAGGCGCAGGGATAAGTCCGGTCTTATTTGAGAGTAAACAATGTCAAAAGAACGCGTTGAAAAAAAAAAAGAAAAAGATTAGAACAAGTTCACAGGAATTTGAAAATTACCATGACGGTAAAAATATAACTAGACAAGGACAGTGTTCCCTGATGAACAGCAAAGTTCTGGACGACAAGAGGCATGTGTACAATCTTCCAATAATTTTTTTTTTACCTTTTCGGCAAGTTGTGCGACCCAGATTGCCTCTTCCAGCTCCTTTGGATATGCTTGCTGCGAAGTATTCTTACAAGTATCCCAGTGTGCAATACAACAACGCAGCATACCCTGGATGACGGGCAAGCATATTGCTGCTGCAGACCTCCGGGCTTTTTTATTTTATTTTTTTATAAATCCATATAGCACAGAGGGGAAGTTAAGAGCGTTAATAAAATTTGCTTTATCACATGGATTAGTTCAAAAGGCAGTTTCCATCTAACCTTGCTCCATGGCAGATGTCATAATTCTCCTGTATAATGGGGTTTCCGCCATTAGGCGTAGCAGAATCTTGTCTCTAGTGAAGCAATCAAACAAAAGGGTTCCCACGACGCGATCTCCTTTTAGGGTGTGTTCATTCCATACACAATTGATACGGCCGCTTATCACTAGAAATCACCTTACCGCTGTTGCGCTGCATGTTTCATCGCAGCTGGTGTTACACTCACCATGGCGGTGTCTACACGCATGCCGATATGCATTATTAAAGATCGTAGAAGCTGCTCAATAGAGTCTAACTCATGTCCAGTCATGCATTGTGTAACTAGATCCCCAATCTCAAACGCTTGTACTGATGGAGCACGACCGTGCTTTCGAGGTATCTCTCTTTCCCTTAGCGGTTTGCCTTTGATTGCATTTCTACTTTCCGAGAACCCAAAGGAGTTTCCAGCTTGGTCCGCAGATCGGTAATGCATTGGTTCCCTATCTCGATTCATTTCCAGTAATGATAGCCCCACGACTTTTGTCCTGACGCCTTCATCCTTGGTATCGTATGGAACCCAGCGCCCATCTTGAAACCTTATAATGGCATTCATGGCGAATTGTAACAACTCTGGTGTTTTAGTGTGCGAAGAGACTACAATGAGATACACATGATGGTGAGTGACGTATGTCTCAACAGACACATCCTTCGTATAAGAGCAAAAGAAGCTGTATCAATGACAATACGCAGATCCTGAACCTACTACGCAGTTTAAGCTGCTCGACACATTCTTCGTCATCCTTCAGATCCATCCACAAGAAAAAGCGGTCAAGGAGGTTTACTAGGATCAACTGCTGATTTTCTATTGCCCTCGGATCCTGTCCCTCATTCATCCGGACCAGCGCATTCACTATTGACTCCTCGTGCCATAGCATGAGGCCTTGATCTGCTAAGGGTCCGCAGTGTAGCATATAAACGATACTGTGGTCGTTATAGCTACGCATTCCCCCTTGCTCATAGTCCCCACTCTTAGTGTTTATTGCTTCTTTCCTTTGTTTCATTGCATCCTTTTCTGCTTCCTGCTTCCTGACCATAGCCGAGACTATCAATTGAATAGCCAGCCTTTAATGACCAGCAATCAATGGGTCAGTAAGGCTACAAGTAAATGATATCCAGTTCTACATGAACATATCTTATTGAAATACTGACGTCTAAAGCAAACCTACTGTTCAATATCCTCGCCACGTCCTTTAGCCATCGTCCAAAGTCTTCGAACCATTTCACCTTTCCTGACAAGCTCCGGTTTATAGTCCAAGGACCAAGTAAGCCAACCTGAGGATTTAGTAGGCAAGTTTGGGTATGGCTCTCCCTCTTCCATTATAAATCGGGCCAGGACTTGTGCCACGACTGATGGTTCTACGACAGCACAGTAAGATTGAAGCAGCAAAAACACTCTGAATGATTGCTCTTCGTCGGACTGACAAGCAAATCTCACTAGCTTCATGAGGTACTGCACGTTCGGCATCACTGATGCGTCATCAAGGAAATAGGTGTGCTCGATTAACGCACTGAATTCAGGCGAATCCTGCCAATGAGCCGCAGTCTTCTCAACAACAATGGCATTAATAGCAGCGTTTTCGTGATCAATAACGAGCTCCATTGTGAAGTACAGTTTTTTTTATTTGGAGAAGGACAAGCTGATAGAGAAAGACGCGGTACGAAAATTTTGTTTTGGCCAACCAATTGATGACTTTATTCAATTAAAGACTACCATGGAGAGGCGAGCTTTAAGAGCGGGTGTACTCGTACATGTCAGCGAAAGGATCCTCCTCAGCAACCTTATGCCAGGTATATTCGATTTCAACAGCGACAGCTTGCGCAGTATCAGGACTGGTCAGCTCCGAAAGGACGTACAAGGCCGCATCAATACCTTTTTTTTTTTTATGTTTTTATGCATTAAAAACCATATGTTAGTTTACAGCCACAATTGGTTATTGAAGGCTTCATAATGTCATCCAAGAGAGTGAATAAACAAAACGATATTTGATATTCTGATTATTTCTTTTACCAGCAGAGACGCCCGAGGAAGTAACGAACTTGCTATCCTGCACCCAGCGTGCTCTCTTGATCCAATCGACGTTGGGTCCTAACATTAGAGTTACAGCAGGCGGGTAAGAGAACTATTCCTGTATACAGAGCCAATAGTCATCCGCCCATTCCACTGATATAGGTTGCTTATCTAATCGCCTCCTTACCATGGGATGCAGCCCACTCAAAGACAGACTTATTGGTACTTTTAAGAATAAACATGTTGTAAAACAAGTAAAAAAAAAAGTTGAGAAACTGAATTATAGTTGTCATCACATTGCATCTGAAATATGTGTGACGCTTTCTCTCCTTACGTGGCTCTGTGGCCATCAATATAACCACTCTTGGCCAAAATACCGGCGCCAGTGCAGACAGTCATGACCCAGATTGCCTCCTGAATCCGGGTTGAAATCAGCCTCATCAGATCCGGCTGTTCGCAAATGGTACGGGTTCCAATGCCTAAAGCAGTTTTAATGGTACATGAACATAGAAATATGTATTAATTAGTTCTCCAACGGAGAGCACAGTTGACTCCAGAATGTGTTTTTTTTTTACCTCCAGGCATGAAAAAGAGGTCTAATTTAGGGGCTGTCTCAAGCGTGTAGTGAGGGGTGACTTCGACCTGCTGCGAAGAACGGGCAGATTTCATAGTGACACCAATAAATATGATCTCAATGTCCAACTTGTTAATTTCTTCACCAAAGATGCGCATGGGACCCATCAGCTATTCGATAACAATTGTTTAAAAAATAAAATAAAAAACAAAAAATAAAAAGTAAATATTGATCCCTTCAGGAGAGAGGATAAGATGAATAAATAAATAAATAAAAGCCTCGAGATATTGAGATTACATCGAGCAGATCCATGCCATCGAAGACAAATGCACCGAGTGTGATCTTGCCATGCCCCGGAGGAATCTTGGGGAAAGGGCCATGGTTAGGAACGATAGAACCCATCCTAATTTTCTGTTTCTTGTCTTGGAAAGGGTCTTTAGTGTCACTGTTGTTGCAAAGCGAGGAAAGGCGGTCAAAATGAGGAATAAAAAAAGCAGAAAGTTGGTGAAGTATGAATAAGGCCTTTTATACACTTGAATGTTTGTTTATTTGCTTGTGCAGGATGATAGTCACGCTCAAACCTGTCGAGGATAAGGAACCAGGAGAAATATCCTATATACCAACCCTTTTACCTTTTTCTGTCTCTTGATCACAAAGAAAGTTCTTGATTGACAACAGATAACGCATATATCCCCCCAATGCATCCCACAAGCGACGCCCTTGAATCGTCTTATTTTTCGTTCATTAAATTTCATACCATTTCATTTGATCATCAGCATACACTGAATATGTATCGTTCAATGTTCCCAAGAAACTCAGGAAAGCGAACGCTGCGCAGTAAACCTTTTTTATATGAATATATATATTCCTGGATTCTATATATCAAACTCTTCTTTAACAACCGATACTCAAACAATAGAAGATGAACCTAGCATAAAAAAATGTCTTGGAGCAGCACCCATTTTTTTTTTTTTTTTTTTTATGAGTCTTCTTCGATCACGTCTTATTAAA